TCAGGCCATTAGGGTACCATTATGAAGCATTAAGGACTAGAAACTAATTACAGTTGATTAAATGGTCTCAGTGCGCCCCAAGTGTTAATGAGCCAAAAAAAAGAGACCAATTTTCTATCAGGGAGGAGGGGTATTTCATTTAATTTTAAACTTTCTTTAGCCTTTAAAAAATGTCTGTGTCCAATACATCTACAGAATGTGAAACTTGATAGTAGTGTTAATTTTTTAAATGAGACTCACTGTGTAGTCCATGTTGACCTGAAACTCACAGTGATCTTCTCAAGTGTCCGGGTTTATAGATGTAAGCTGCTATGCCCGGCTATTAATGTTAAGAATACATTCATCCAGCCAGGAAAAATAGATTTTGCTAAGTGAAACATGTTCTCTCATGCACTGGCTTCTTCCAGATCAGTCACGTCAAAGCTAAAAACTAGAAACACAAAGTGGCACACTGTAGCCTACCAAAGTCTGCACATGTTTTCCATTGGATAAAATGAAAGCAGCAATTTCATTATAAACAAAATCACTCCAAAACTCTCTTGGAAAACCCACAAGCATGTCTCTATTAATATACTAAGAGATATATAGATAAATACGTTGTGGTCACGTTGTACCCTGCTTAAAATTACTCTGTGTCCTATGGCACAATAGCTTTCAGGCTGTTTCTTGGACTAAGTGGACCCGATTTGCAACGCAGCACTTAGCTCCGCCAGGGCTAAGGCATTATTCTTATCATTCTCCTGCAGGGAATCCACCAATGCCTATCCAGCACACAGCACAAGGCACAAAACAGTCATCAACTTACACCAATAAAAAGTGCCACTTACTGGTCAGCTGGGGGGAGTGTTAGTTAGCTCAGCCACTGTATAAATTATAATCGAGGTCCCTCAAAGAACTACAAATAGAACTAACTATCAAGTCACCAAGATATCCTCCCCATACACACACAAAAAGGAGGAAGCAGGCCCACAAACTTATCGAATACTAGAACAAAGAATGCAGACCCCCTCACCCCGGTCATATAGAAAATATATAACAACAACCACTGACCCGTCATCAGACAAATGGGTGAGCATAGCACAGGAGGGCCCGGGACTCTAACTGCCCTGGCTGGATGCCCTGGTTTCATGTAGCACAGTGGAACTGCAGCCAGCCACATCCTCACAGACAGCGCTGTGACTGCGCCCCTTAAAGTTACCACCTTGCCTGACTACCTGCAAGGATGCATCTGCTCTCAGCCTTTGCCTTGGTAGGCAGAGAAAAGGGGAGGATATTTTAAAAGCTTCCAGACTAGTGCCCTTCGCTAATTTTAAAAAATCTTTCCTCTTATTTTTGTCTATGAAAAATTCCAAGAAGTAGCAAAAGACCAAGGACAGTCAAGCAACCCTGGACAGAAGGTATCGCCAAACCCGATTTCAGCCTACCCTCAGTAATAAAAACAGCACAGTACCGGAACAAAGATGGATATACACATTAATGAAGTAGAACTGAGTACCTGACCAATTAGATGTCAAAAACATTAGAGAAAAGATGGTATCTTAAATGGTGGTAGGAAAATGGAATTTCAAAATACTGAAACATGAAATGAGATCCTTATCTCTCACTCAGCTACAAATGGATCAAAGACAAGTGTGGTGGTTTGAATGAGAAATGGCTCCACAATCTCAGGCAGTGAATACTAGGTCCCCAGTTGGTGGCTGTTTGGGAAGGTTTACAAGGTGTGGCCTTGCCCGAGGAAGTGTGTCATTAGGGTGGGCTTGGAGATTAAAAGCCTCTTGCTATTTATTTCCAGTTCTCTTTCATGTTTCCATTTGAAGAGGAAGCTCTCTGCCTCCTCTTCCTGCTGCCATGCCTGTTACCACACCTCCCCACCTCCCCACCATGATAGACTCATCCCCCTAGAACTGGCAGCCAAAACGAACCCTTCTGTAAGTTGCCTTGGCTGTGGTGTTTTAGCAAAACAAAAGTCACTAATGCAATAAGACATGAAACTCTGAAAACACCAGAAGAAAAAGCAGGAAGTATACTTTAACTTCTAGACACAGGGGAGGGCTTTCTGAACAGGACTCTAGTAGTATAGGAGAGAATACCACCCACCAACAAATGAGATCTCATAAAACCAAAAAGCTTCTGTACATCAAAGGGGACTATCAACAGACTGAAGAGACATCTGGATGGGAGAAAATCTTTGATAGCTACACACTGGACGGACGATGAGTGTCTAGAATATGCAATAACTAAAAAAAAAAAACCACCCAACTATCCAATTAAAAAATGGGCTGTTGATCTGAGTAGAAATTTCTCAAAAGAAATAAATACACATTAATAAATACTTCTTAAAAAGTGTTCAACATTCTTAGCCAATGGAGAAGCGCAAATTAAAAGTACTTTAAGAGTCGATCTCAACCTAGTCAAAGAGCATCATCAGAACAGAAATGGTAAGGGATGCCGGAGCGGACCTAGCCAAGCTCCTGTGCACTGTCAGTGGGAGTGTAGACTAGTGCACCATTGTGGAATCAGTCTAGAAGCTTCTCAGGAAACCAGCCACAGGACTGTAGTCTGTCCCAGCGAAAATACTCCTGGGCACACACCCAATGGACTCGATATCCTACTGCGTAGACGTATGCAATGGCCATCTATGCATTGCTAGGAAACAGAATTAACTTAGATGTCCACCAAGAGGAGAATGGAGAAGGAATGTGTGGCACATATACAGAGTGGAATATCACTCAGCTGTAAACAAGTTAAGATCATGAAATCTACATGTAAATGGGTAGAACTGGAAAATACTCTGCTTAGTGAGGTCACCCAGACCAGAACACAAACTCTGCATGGTCTCTCTCAAGTGGAGAGCCTGGCTTCCAAGCTTGTGTTTTGTGTTTAGGGGCACAAGTGGAAGCCAGGGAACTAGCAAGGGGCCATTGGGTGTGTTGAGGGGTATTCTTCAGGGATGAGTAGTAGATAATAGGTGAAATGAAAGCAGTGATGTAGAATGCTGAGGGCAGAAAAGGCTTAAAAAGGAAAGACAAGGAGGATAGGAAAAATGGGGGAGGGTTAACTTATAGGAGGAGTTATAAAAAAAAGCCCATGGAAACCCACCATCTCTCCACTCAAAAACTGTAATTGGAGGGAGCTAACAATGAAAATAAAAAGAAAATAATAAAAAAGTAACATCGAAGACTATAGCCGCAGACACGGCCTGGGAGGACACAAAGAGGTCCCTGTGACGGCTGTGACGGCTGTGCAGCAGGCTCAGAGGAGCCCATGCAGAGCTGATCACTTAATAGAGTTTATCAACTAACTGATCACTTAATGGTACGCAGTACCATTATAAACTCCATCAAGTTTTTTTTTTTTTTTTTTTTTTTTAAAGATTTTATTTATTTATTATGTATACAGAAGAGGGCGCCAGATCTCATTACAGATGGTTGTGAGCCACCATGTGGTTGCTGGGAATTGAACTCAGAACCTCTAGAAGAGCAGTCGGTGCTCTTAACCTCTGAGCCATCTCTCCAGCCCCACTCCATCAAGTTTTAAATTTTAAGTTTAACCAAGAGACAAAGCATGAACAAATAATATTTAAAGAATATAATGTACCCAGGTGGTGGTGGTGGTGGTGGTGGTGGTGGCGGCGGCGGCGGCGGCGGCGGCGGCGTCGGCGCACGCCTTTAATCCCAGCACTCCTCGGGAGGCAGAGCCAGGTGGATCTCTGTGAGTTCGAGGCCAGCCTGGTCCACAGAGTGAGATCCAGGACAGGCTCCAAAACTACACAGAGAAACCCTGTCACAAAGCTTCCAGAAACATGCTAGGCACACACTGTACATCTACAGACAAATAGCAAGGCTGTGAGGAGCTGGGTTGTCAGTGATAGATGAGAAAGTAAGAAATTTCAAAACCCTAAGTTCTACACGAGGCAGTCTGGAGTCACTGCTTGAAGTCAGGGATGTGACAAATTTTATATAATGCTGCGTCCAAGCCTGACAGTGGCCACCTTCATCAGGGCAGTGTGAGTCCTTGTGGGGGATCCTCAGGACCAGGGCCTGGTGATGTTCTCTCATTGAAGGAAGACAGCAGAGATGGTTACCGGACCCTTAACAGATCCTCTACTCCCAGCTACAGTGTATAATTCTGCCTTAACTATACATACATCCCCTTGTTACCCTCAAGAGGGGCTACAGACTGTGAAAGGTTACCTGAAGGGCATTCCTTCTATATCGAAGTCACCGTCCATGCAAGGATGGCTTCCTGCTGCCTCCATGTCACCTACGTGCCTGTAAATAACCTTCCCCCATGCTCTGAAAGGAGCCTGATAAGCTCACTGGCTCCCCAAGGTGGACTTCGGTGGAATGTACTTAGGTTTGTTGTTGGAAGAAGGGAGTAGATGCCTATTCACCTATCCCCAGGGAAAGAGTTCCTCCAGCATAAATACAGCTTGAGATGTGATACTCAGAATTACTAGGATAATTGAGGAAGAAACCAAATATTAAAAAAGAAATAGAGAAGAATCATCAGGAAAGTTTTAATCCCTGTCTGTCTAAGTGACAACTAAGTCATTACAGAAAGTACACAAATTAAGAACTAGCCATGTAAACATGTTGCTTATAGAACCAAAGCAGCTAGTCAAAGAACGAATAACACATGGGGGAAAAGAACCAGGGAGGAGGAAGTGGGGAGACAGAATGGAAGGGCAGGTTGGGGAGGGGAAGAGGAAGAGGAAAGGGAAAGCAGTACGCAGGAATAGACACAGCAAATTTCTTTGTATCTCATACAAAATATCATTTGTCTGTCTCATATTTTTCTTTTGCCTTCCTCCTCCTAGCAATATGACACAGCTCATTCAAAAATATTTTAGACTGACCTCTGTGGTCTATAGAAAGAGTTTGAAAACGCCGCTCAACACCTAAATACACACACTGTGTTTTATGTTATTTCCCTTTCAGTTCTAGGAATGCCAAAGACACACTGATTTACTTCTGTTTTCTGGGGAGATCTAGACTTACCATGAAATTTTTCAGCCTCGGGATCATTCACATTGATAGCAATTATTTTCCAATCTGTGGCACCCTCATCGATAAGTGCCAAAACCCCAAGGATCTTTACATGGATCACATCTCCACAGGAAAGAACCTGCACAGAGAAAAGATGCCATCATTCACGAGACTTGGGAGGGTTTAACCACAAAACCACACTCACACGATGGAAATGTAATAGTTCTAGTAAATACAAACCATGCAAAAATGGTCAGGAAGCCTGCCTTGCAGTCTCTTTCCCAAGAATGAGTATCTCAAAACTTCTACTTCCACTCATGAAAGGATTGCCGATTAAGCAACCAAAACAAACAAACAAATGAAAAAAAAAATGTATACCCTTCCAGAAACCAGACATTAAACAACAGACAGTGTAGGACCATGACTCTAGAGGGGAGCTGCCCAAGGAGGAGGACCCTGCAAACTGCCTGAGGTTTCTGCCCAACGCAACTGTGGAGCACAGGCCATAGCAAGGGAAGCCAGCCAATGCCCCCAGACCTCCACATCTGTTCCACGGCATGAGTGCATATGCATGAGAACACACTTACATGCGGTATGCGCGCACACACACACACACACACACACACACACACACACTCTAAATAGATACATAAATACATAAATGCAATTTAAAAAGGAGAAGAACCACCACCACCAGGGAAGGCGAGGCATAGACTGGAATTAAGATTTTACTCCAGAAATATACACAATGTAGAAGAGGCTGAAAGTGTCCTCAAGGAAAAGCTACTTCATACCTGCCCCAACAAGTATTCTATTTTTCTGCCTAAAAACTATCAAAAAGATTGTCTTCAGAAGACAACGAATGATAGTGAAACCATTGTTAATGTTAGAGACAAAACAGGTTTCATGAGGTGCTTAAAAGTGAGTTTAGGATAAATTAAATAAGAAGCTGGGTGCTGAGGGCCCTGGGAGCACAAAGCAGGTGACAGCTAGTGTTTGGCAGGTCGACCCACCAGATGAGTGACTTCCTGTTGGGAGCCCCACCTGGCCAGGCCATGGGGCCACTGGCTGTGGAAACCGGCTGTTTTCTGTCTGTAACTTTCTCATGTGCCACCACTATACCTCCCTAAAAAGAACAGCTGTGGGGTTCCTTCCACGGCCCATTGGTAGTGTGTTTTACATCTTTACAGCTGTGGATGGTCAGGAGGATGATTTCTGCATGAATAGAAATAATACCAGAATATTTTTCTTTACTGACTCAGGAAAGTAACCATATTCTCAGTCTCAAAGACAGCTAATTTTAGACTTCAGAACAAATTCGAAACAGACTAAGCTGCCCCTGCAAATAAAATACACACAGACAAGATCCCGGTGTCATTTGTTGTAGCTGTGTGGAGACAGATTCTCAGAGAAAGAGGTTTTCCTAAGATGAAGTAGAAGAGAAAGCTACTGACAGAAAGCGTGTGTGTTTCTTTATTTTTTCCCCTCAGATAGAAAAAGTCTAGCCCTCAGATAGACAATTTTCCCTAAGCTCTCACTACTCTGAGGCAATCTTTCTGCTCCCCTGGAGCCGACCTGGGAGCTGGCCTCCCACCGTCGGTGATAGTGGGGCTCAGGAGATGGTTCAGTCGCGCAGCCACGCACTGTGTAAGCATGAGGACCTGAGTTCAAGTCCCAGGACTCCTGTCAAAAGCTGGATATAGGGCTTGTAACCCCAGGGAATCAGAAGCAGGGCGAACCCTGAGTCTCTCTGATAACCAAGGCAAATCAGCAAGAGCTGAGGTCCCTGAGAAACTCTGTCTCAAAAAACAAAGTCGATGCCACCCGGAAGAATGACACCAGATTCTGACTTCTGACACCCACAACATGTAACGTATGTGCACATGCCCTCTCCCATGTACATACACATGTCTACACACAGGTACATACACCGCTCTGTCAGAAGTGGACTCTGACACTCTGCTGCTTGGGAAAGTGATTTCACTGCCCTTGGGTTGCCAACATCTCAGATCTTCCTATATTCTTTATTTTCAAAGGTAAATAGGCTAGAGAATCCCCCTGTAAGCTTACACTCTAAACATGTTTCAGGAAACAAATTTCCTCATGGTCCAAAATGCAGCATTCCATTTAGAAAATAAGGTATGCAAAACAAAACCATTTATGCACACCCAAAATGTTTAGAGAAAATGATGTTAAACCATAAAATCAAGTAAATTTATTTAAAACATTTGCAAAATGACAAGTCTTAATCTAAGTGTATGTGAAGTGATTATCACACAGCAGATCAGTGTGTGACTGTATAAATGATACTGAAGCCTCCTTCGTTAGAGAAGACACACAATCACATTAGAGTCTCCTGTGGCTAGTCTATCATCAGTTAAATACCTGGTACTGTAGTAGGCCCTGTGAGGGAAAGAAAGAAAGTGGATGGGGTGGGCAGGGGGAGGGAGAAAGAGAAGAAGAGAGAGGGGAAAAGAATCTCTGTTTGCAAAGATTTACTACCTGGTCTCGGATACTTATACACTGCAGGTCAGGACAGAAAGACAAGAAGAGACAATGACCTCAGATACAAAGGCTCTACCATCCCACATCTCAACCACTGAAATAACACGGCCCAACCTAAAATTTTACAGGACAGGGATGGAATGAATTCGGATGTGCATCAGTCTTCACAAGTATCAGCCCTGGAGGCAGAACCCTGCGCAAGCCAGAAACAGTCTCCACAGTCACATGTCTGGGATTTGATCCTACTCTTGACGATTTCCAGCCATGTGAGACAATGCACGATGCCTTGGGTAGTTTTCGACTCATAATTTTCCCTGATCATCAACATGAAAGTTTGGGTTTCTAAAGGAAGTCAGAATTTCACAGCATTCCCATTCACAGTAAATAAAAATGTTAGGGAGGAAAAAAACTGGTAAGAAAACAAATAAAAAGCTTGTCCCTTAAGTATATCTAAAAGACAAAGATCTAAATTGGTGTTTGATGTTACTTCCTACAATGCTCTAACTCTACAAAGAGCATGTATCTACCATTCTTGGTATACCTTAAGGACATACCAAAATCTCAAATTTAACTTCCTTTTTCATAAGAAGAAGCCCATCTTCAGTATACTTGCTTACTATAGGTCACAAAAACTGAGTTTCTTCCACTCCAACATTAGAGCCCCAACCAAGCCCATGGAAAGCTTTGGGATGCCCAGGAGGCTCTTGGTTCTAGGGATGGGCACAGGGAGACAGGGGTTCAACTGCAGGCCTCACTGATCTGACCTTGCCCTGTTTCATCAGCTCTGAGGCACTTTTAGGAAGCCTGCAGGGCTATGAGAATGCCACTCTGTGAAGGAAACAGAAGAACAACCTTGCCCTTTCACAGTTTGGGTGTCAACCGAATGCTACTCCTTCCTGCCCCACCCCTACCATGCTTCGTCCCTAGCTGTAAATCACCAAGTATCTCAGGTACTTATCCTTAGGTCTGGACTTTGGTTCCTTAAACTCTTGATCTACAAGTCCGAAAGGAAGAGGTATAGATTCTTATGAAAGAGGGTGGTGATATTTACAACTCTACGCAGGCCTACTTTCAAATCTAAAGCACTGCACAGAGAGACTGCAGCTGGTAGGTAAGGCTAACACAGGCTGAATCATACAGTATTCGCTGGTGGCGGTTCTGCATTCTAAAGGGGATGTGGACAGAGAAGGACTGGAGAATCTAGGACACTGTCAGGTGAAGCAATTACAGCCTCTAGAGTACAAACCCTTGAGGACAAGGCTTCAGGGAGGCAGGGTAGACAAGACCAAAGAAACTGTAAGGTCTTTATAAAACATCTTGAGTTTGAAGCTACTGTGCAATTATCAAGGAAAAGCGGGTCTTGTTGGGTAGCTCGCAGATACACTGATTGAGTGGGTCTCACCCAAGGCAGTTTTAACCTCTGGGAGATGCTGGCTGTCTGGAGACACTTTTGCTTTACTAGCATCTCCATGGAAGAGGGCGAGGATGTTCCAGAGACACACTGTTCTAACGAAGATTTAATCATTCAAACATCAGCCGTGCTACAGAAGTGGGCAGCAGAGAAGTTCTTGAGAACTTTCATTCTCAATTATTTTGTTTTCTTACCCATAAAACTTATTTCCCAACAACATAACAACCAGTGAGTCTATTTTGTAGACTTTGAGGCTGGCAGGAAGCAAGTTCAGCCACTGTCAAGTTTCATCAGATGAAACAGCTTTTGATCTCAGAAGAACACAGAGGGAGAACCTTATTTCAAACAAGCCATTGCTTGGCTGTAATACCTTCAAAACAGAGAGGCAATCTCAAAACCAAACTGTAAAGGATGCTTAGGAACAAATGGTAAAATACTTATGAAGCTGCTACACTCCAGTTTAAATCATTCAACAAATTTATGCTGGCTGCATGTGTAGTCTTCTCATAAAAACCAAATGAATAATACATGATCATATAAGAAGTTCACAACGTTCAACATTTCTATATGTCTGTGGCCCTCGGTCCAATATCAACTTATAGGACACTGTTTCTTTCCTTTACCCATTAGCTATGTGTGTTCACACAGTGTTTTAGGTTTTAGTTTCTCAACAGTAAATTGAAGATGATTTTAGTTCCACATACTCCTGAAGAGTCAAGGAAAGTAGATATATGAACCAAGGCCAAGAGGTCATCTACTGGGATCTACATGGACTTATTAAAATATACCTACTATTCTCAGGAGCATGGAATAAGCAAATGTAAAAGGGGCCTATAAAACCTAGGCTCTGTGCTGACTCAGTTCTGAGGAAGGCAAACCTCAACCATGCAGTTAAAAACAGAAAATAATGGGAAGTACAGTGTTTAAAGCATATTAACTTGTGAACTGGGTTTTCTATTGCTGTGTAGTAAGTTACTGCAAGTTAAAAGCTTAAATAGTGTAACTTTTCATGGACCAAGAAAAGTCCATGCCAGGCACGGGTGGATTTAAACAGTAGTCAGGCCTACAATACTGTAAGTTCCAGAATAAACTAGCAAAATATAACAATAATTAATTAATATATTCTTCAGTAATTATACATTAAAAATCACATATTAACAATCTTTAATTTTATGCCACATAGTCCACAACTTGGAAACCTCTATTTTAAAACCCACATTGAGTTTTCTTAGTTATTCTTGGCTTACAGATAAGTGTGACTGTGCCACGTGAGTTTATCAGCTACAAATGTTGCTAACGTTTCTTCTAGGCACAACCTCACTAATTACACGTTCAATGACACATTACATGGGTCAAAATAAGATGCCTCTGTTTAAGCTCTTTACTCATATCAGGTTTAAACTGACTGAATATTTTGCACTAAATATGAACTGACTACCCCCCAAGAGTTATAAGAATAAGATAATTGTTTTAAACACACAATCTTTCCAGGAATGAAAAGTCACCTAACTTAGCCATCTTTACTAGTTATGAAATAAGATATGGACAGGAAACCAAAGAGCCTAGCATGGATTCTAGGAATAGGAGGTATTCATTAGGATATTTTATCCCTTTTTATCCCTTAGGAGAAAATAGTTCAGAGAACTATAGCTTAAAGTTGAGGGGAAAAAAGTGGTAACTTGTTCATACTTCTGTTGAAGACATGTGCTAGGCAAGGATAACAGTAACATACACATGCATCCTAACAAATCTGTCCATAAAATCAGAATTGTGAGGTAGAGAATAAGAATCCCTCACCTCATAAAAGGAGTAAGAATGAGGAGAGAAATAACAAGGGGGAGAGGGTGAGAAGGATACAGGAGAGGAGGATACAGGAGAGGAGGGTGCAGGTGAGGAGGATGCAGGAGAGGAGGATGCAGGTGAGGAAGATGCAGGTGAGGAGGGTGCAGGAGAGGAGGGTGCAGGTGAGGAGGATACAGGAGAGGAGGATACAGGAGAGGAGGATGCAGG